CCACGTTTCGGGTGTTGTATCGGATTTCCTACGAATCCCAGGACTGGCACCCAGTGACGATTGGTAGCCTTTAAGACGGATGAACTATGCGAAAAATTAGAAAAAGCATAGTTTTGGAGTTCGATTTTCCAGAAAATCTTTTGTAAAACCTTAGGGTTTTGTGAGATTTCGTTTGAGATTTCCTATAAACAGGATAAAGAATAGCTTAAATACTCCACATTCTGGAATTTTCTACCAATCGTCACTGGGTGCCAGTCCTGGGATTCGTAGGAAATCCGATACAACACCCGAAACGTGGAAAATCAAGGTCGCACTTGACTCTCAATTTGAAAAGGACACCCTGGGCTATTAGTCTGTGAAAACAAATCAGTACAATCCTATTGGAAAATTTTTACACACGAGCTAATTTTCCAAAGATCTCCTAGAAAACCTGTTTCAGAAAGTTCTTCTGGGAAAAAATTTGATTATGATAACATGTCCTCAAATCTCCTCCTTCGAATGATGAAATGGGAGCTCTTTAGCTTTTTCCTATGAAAAGTTATTCAAAAAACAGTCGTATACCATTCTTTTTTTGGATGGACAATAGAAGATTGTTCTGCACTTACCAGGGAGACTACCAGTAATTCGCGTGGCAGCTTTTTCCATTGCTTCTTTAATTGAAAAATATAATTCTCGACACTAAAATTACAGTCTTGTGTGTAAAATAAAAGTTCAATTATACAACATACTTACTCGTTTTGTATAAAATTTATTTAGTTGTGTTTCTCCCTCAGCTTTTCTCCAAAGACATAGAACCTTTGTTTTTGGACAAAATGTCATATTTACTAGTTTTTCAAACCAACATCGATCGTAGACCTCGCCTAATACACTTCGTACGATAATACAATCATCCCAAACCTGTAGCGAAATAGTATGAATAAATGAATACAAAATAGACTAATATGTATTATCATTTACCTCCATAAAAAGCATATCACCCGTATTATCAACACCCCAATGTACTGTAAAACTTTGTTTTTGTAATAATCGACTACCAGCTGGACGTAAATCAACATCATTTCCATTCTATGAATGATGTTAAATAGCAATATTGATTTTCAACTGAGATAAAATAAAACATACCAGATTATGTATATTATCGAGTAATTCATTCACTTGTTGACTCATAGCTAAACCAATATGACATCTTCCAAGCATACGACGAATTTTTCGCCGAATTTCTTCTTTACTAACGCGCATCATTATCATAAATGCAATTAAATTATACAACATTACAGCCAATAAACGATCTTCATCTAATTCAAGACGTTTACGCTCAGGATTTGCCAATGAATTATATCTGTAAATCATAGAATTGTATTTATTTATTCGCACGAGAATTGAATGAATTTATACCTTTCCATCATTTCAGCTGGTCCTTGATCTAATCCAATAATATCTCGTTCTTGTGCAACAGCATCCAAAAATACATCTTCCCAATATTGCATCTGATCCCACAAGTGACTTCTTGAACTTCCAACTAATACTTCGAATAAATACTGTTTATCATTGACGGTTGGTAGTTGAACATCTACTACTTGTGTTATTGAACCGTTGCGAAATCTTCAAGAAAAACGATTTATTTCATAATTATTTGGCACTTTCAAGATTATATTACGTCTTTTACCTATATCCACCTGATAATGCACTCTTAGCTGATGATCCGGTGGATAAACGTCTATTTTTCAATTTATTATGTTCATCATTTAATCCCCATTGATTTGTAACACGTATTAAATGATGATTAATTTTTGATTGACGACGACTCGAGGAAGCTGATGAATTACCAGCTTCATCATCGGTTGTATTATCGAGTGTATTAATACGAGACAAAGTTATACGAGTTTTAGACATTGGCTATAAGAGAAAAACATCTTCAGTAAAACATAGTTTTCAGTAAAAGTAGCGTTAATAGTTATTACGCTCGAGTTTTCATTATTCTCATTAATTTTCATTGAACTAGTTAAACTAAGAGAATCGGGTCGCGTTTGACTAGATGGACTTTCAAGCGGTGATTCTAAGATAAATAGAAAACATAATCTTTTTGTTCTACAAGAAAGTGAGAAAACTTACTATTTAGAGTATTTGGTTTTAATTCATTTGTCAAATGTTCCTGTTGTTCATTATTATTGTTATTATTTGGTTTTGCTGAATCAGCTGAAACAGATGTTGACTTTTCACGAGATATTTCGATGTTTTGATATTCATCACCGTTCAATAAGACAGGATCTACGATTGAGAAAATATTATTTTGGAGTAAAATTTGTGTTTTTAGACAAGAATACAAACAAACAGGATATAATGTGCAATGACAACAACAATAAAAACGAGTGATGTGCGGAAAACACATGAAATGTTAAGCGACGAGAACTATACGTATGAGAAATGCTTATTTCATAGCAGTTATAAATACTATTTCTCTAAAAATTTAATATCATGCACTATCCTTTCTGTCGCAGCTCACGAAACTTTTCTACTAAAATCCGATAAATGAGAACAAAAATATGTATGCTATTCACGAGGGAACCGCCCCAAGTCCCGAGCGTCTTCGTCGAAACACAAATAGGCATAGGTTATCACTCATGCTGATTTCAAATACTGATTTCAAGTCGGAGCGGCATAAGAGCCCTTAGAGACCCCCGGTTTTCTAGAAAACTAATTTTTCAGAAGCTCTAAAAAGTAACTAAAACCTTTCTTAATGAGGCATGATTGTAGCCCGCAAATTTCTGATTAAAATGAGAAGTCTCCCAGCTCTACACGACCTTAATGTTAAAACTGGTTTTCTAGAAAACCGCGCCTTCAAGGGTTCATATGTCGCTCCGACTATGCTGTTCGAAAGCAGCATCAGCGATAACCTATGTCTATGTGTATTTTGACGAAAAAGCTCGGGAACTCTTGGAGCGGTTCGCTCGTCACCACTACACTTTACAATACAAAGAGCAAAGCAAATGCAAACAAACATGATACTACATCTAAAAATACCGTTAGGTGTCGTGGTCTGAACATCAGTTGTCGGTGAATAAGTATTACTTTGTTTTAACGTTGAAATGTTAGAAAAATGCTGACCATCAGCAGAAGACGATGTATCAGGATTATTATTATTAATGTAACGTGTCGCATTATTATTATTATTATTATTATTATTATTATTATTATTACTACAAACTAAACTACCATTATTTATATTTTGTAATGTAGTCGATGATGGACTAACAGATACGGATGTATGAAATGGTTCATGAGGAGAAAAGGAATGTCTTGGATTGGTTTTTAATTCAACTATTGAAGATGGCTGGATGGCTGATGTATAACTACGAGCTAACGCTAACTTTGATTCGCGCCATAGACTACCTAAACATCACACACACACACACAACTCTTATCATCAGTCAATATAAGTGACCTGAAAAATGTAATTTACCTAATTGTGCAACTAATCCTCCGGCTGTACTATTAGATTGTGGTGTAGTTGATTGTGACGCTAATGGCAATTGAATATTATTATTATTGTTATTATTATTATTTGAAGATTGAGCAACGGGCGCAGTTTCTAACGACGCTAGGCTTTCACGACTGCCACCAATAGGACTATTACGTTCAGACATTGGACTTAATTCAGCACGATTAATATCTTTCAGCCAATAATGAGTATGTGCTATCTCGAGTAACTGAAAACCGGATGCCATTCCACCTAAACGAGATTGGCACAATAAAAGATTTTCACTTTCAATCATGTAAGCTAATGAAACACGTTAATAATTTCATTATTACTGAAAATTTATCGGTTAACATTTCTTTAATCATCGTCGAACTATTTGAGTTAGATAGAAGGCGAGCAAGAAAATATATGGTCAATTCAGAGCACAAAAGTGCAAAAAATAGCATTTTACATCGTAGTCAATTAATAAAAAATGGTGTCTTTTGTTGCAGCCAATCTTCCATACCTACTATTCTTCAAATACGATTATTTTTTCCTAGTACTTCCTAAAAATGGTATAATATAAATAATGTCTGCGCATTTAACTGTGACTGTAAAAAATGAAAATGTTTATGAATTTTTGAATTGACATAAAGTAGACTTTTTTATGAACAAGAAAACGACTGAAATGAGATTTGTTACTTACTGTGATTATAGCTATAATTTTCAAATGTCACTTCCAAACCTTGTATAACACTTCTTAATATATTTGTCATCCCTTTAAAGACAGCACGACTTACTTTCTAAATAGATTGAAATAAAATTATTGATAATTTCTGATTACAGCTAATTGATTGACTACAAATACTCACCACATCTTCAATGTGATCATCTTCATCAGAAAATTTTCGATCTAAATTTGTGTTTAATCTACTTAGAACGAAATTTCGATAATTTTCATCTTCCATTAATTTTTTTACACGATTTATTTTTAACCATCCGATACCTTGTCCATCGAGTACACATGAAACAATTTCTTTTAAAAATTGTTGATTTTCACTATGAGTATTTGCTTTTGATTCAACACTTTGTTGTCGCGATAAGTGTTGATTGTATTGCTGGTGTCGTTGTTGAATTGTGGAATTTGGTCCATGTTTGATTAAATGAGACTTTTCTACTTTTCGATTTTCTTTTGGAAATGGAAATGGTGGAGGTTTAGTGGAACGTTGCATTGTCGACGAAGATGCGGGACGAGGTTCAGATGAAGATGCAGCTAGAAACACAAATATTAGAATATATCTTGAGTAGAGTCAGTCAGAGGGTGACTAGGCATGCACCAATACAATATATTGGGTCCCAATAATATTGGTCACCCAATCTATTGGAACCAATAATATTGGTCACCCAATCTATTGGAACCAATAATATTGGTCACCCAATCTATTGGAACCA